TGCACTTCAGAGAATAATCTTGCTATATTTGAGCACAAGAGCTGCAGAATGTGAAATACAATCTTATTCTCAGACTTGATTGATTTCAAAGGTTCAATTCACAGATTCAATGATGTACATGTTATATGCAGTTGACTGATAAGAAGAAAATGATTCATACAATTCTATCAACTGATATAAGAAGAACATTTCACATCTCTGATATAGAAGAATTAAATCTGCTTATATATTAATAAGTAAAGAGAATGATTTGTAAGACCTCATCTGAAAGCATTCTGTATGTCATATGAGACTCAGAAGCAGAGGAAACCAAGATAAAGAATATACAGAAGAATAAGTATATAAAGAAGCTTCTGAAGAAGTATGAAAAGATCTTTCAAACAGATCTTTCATCAGAATTGCCGCCAGAACAAGAATTCATATATGAGATTGACACAGAGAATGCAAAACCAGTCAATCAGAATGTGTACTCTCTGTCACAAACACATCTTGAAGAACAGAAGTATCAGATCACAAACCTTCTAGAATGTGATCTCATACAATTCTCATTAAGCACATGAGGCTTTCCAGTTCTATTTGTGAAAAAGGCGGGTGAGAAGTGATGAATGTGTATCAATTATCAAGCACTCAATAAGTTTATAATCAAGAATGAATATTCACTGTCACAGATTCAACAACAGTTGAATACAGTTGAAAACACCTGATATCTATCAAAGATTGATCTTCTCTCAGAATACTGACAGATCTGTGTAGATGAACTGTCAGTTCTGTGAATCACATTTAATACACAATGAGAGAAGTTCAAATTTCTGACAATGTCATTCAGTCTGATAAATGCACCTGTCATCTTTCAAACAATGATGAATACAATTCTTTATAAACAGAATGAAATCTCATACCTCATATATCTTGATAACATTCCAGTCTTTTCAAACTCATATGACAAACATCTGAAGCATCTCAATGAAGTGCTTACAACTCTGACAGAGTATAAGCTCTATATTAAATCAATCAAGTGTGTGTTTGAAATGAAAGAGTTGAAGTTTGTAGAACATGTAGTAGGTGATGACTGTATACACCTCATTCTGAAGAAATTAAATGTTATAGCAAATTAACTGCAGCTGAGAAACATACATCATGTACAATAGTTTTTTAAGTTGATCTCATATTATCATAGATTTATCAAGAATTTCACATAAATATCTACATCACTCTCAGATCTCTTAAGAGAAACAGATGCAAATCTGCAAAAGAAGAAGTTTCATTCAATCATCTGAAATACTGCATGTAAAGAGGCTTTTCTCACACTGAGAGAATATATAATAATATTCTCAGTGCTTATTCAATCAGATCATGATAAATCTTTCTACATTGAAACAGATGCATCTGAATGAGCTATCAGAGATGCTCTTCTACAGATGAGTAAGAATGACAAGCTGCACTCAGTGATGTATAATGATAGAAAACTATCAGATACTGAGCTCAATTACTCAGTGTATGAAAAGAAATTGTTAGTGATTAAGCACATACTGATATTATGAAATAGATATATTAACAACAGATATACAATAACAGTGATTATAAATCACAAAAGTCTTATCTATCTATAATTGATGATAAAACCTTTCAAATGCTTAGTATGTTGAATCTCAGAGTTTCAAGTGTACAATCTTTATATCAAATATTGAAAGAAATTGAATGCTATGATATCTGACACAATCAGTCACAGACTCAATTTCATGAATGAGAGTTCTACAAACCAGGCACAAGGGATGTTCATGTTAAACACACTGAGAGAATGCAAGGAATCAGAATGAGTGAACATCATGATCTCTCACTTAAAGAATAACAAGATATTGAATGATAAGCATCTTGTGAAAGTAGTAGAAGAGATACTTCTGAACTTCAAGCTAGAGAAATTGAAAAACAACATTATACTTTATCACAATCTAGAATATGTGAAAGCTCTCTATCTAGAATCTTTATTTAGATATGACTTAATGACTCATATGCACAAGGAATTCAGTCACTTAGAAAGCTCTGAACTCATGAGTGTACTCAAATCAAGAGTATACTGACTAAGCATGACTGAGAATATTCAGGTGTACACTCACAAGTGCCTGAATTATCAGATTGTGAAAGAATCTAAGAAAGAATTAGAACATGAGAAAGTGTAACATCAGATGAAGTGTATAATACAACTGTTCAAATGATGAGAGATGAATCTCATAGATATATTATTATAAACATCAAATGAAAATCAATGAATAATCACTGCTATTGATTACACTACTAGCTGGCCAGTCACAAAAGCAGTTTCAGAGATAATAGAGAAGGTGATAGTGAAGTTTCTATATAATGAGATATATATCAACTATGAAATGCTGCATGAGATTTTAACTGATAATAGTGTGAATCTCATGAGAGAAGCAGTGAGGCATATCATGCATCAGTTATAGATAAGATATTGTAGAACAACATCATATCATCTGCAGATGAACAGAAAGATGAAATGCTTGAATGAAATCTTGAGCAACATGCTGATGAAATATCTAGTAAGCAAGCCTATAAGACTATGAGATGAATATCTCGGACAGGCGCTGTTGGTCACACAGATTCAACAGCATGCAGTCTTCAAGCATTCATCATTCTACCTGTTGTATGAATTGCATCCGCGCATCCCGGAGAATGCTTTGAAAAAGGTGAGAAAGAGAGCAGTTGCGGACACAGTAGAAACAGCAGTTGCAGACACAGCAGAAACAGCAGTTACAGACACAGCAGTAGCAGTTGCAGATGTAACAGTCACAGACACAGAATCAAGATTGAAAGAGATCAGTCATGCATGTACAAAAGCTAACAAGTTACTTCTAAACTGAGCAATTTAATTGAAAAGAATACAAGACTCACTTATTAAGAAATCAAGTCTCAAGATAAGAATGTAAGTTCTCATATACAATGAGAACTCTGAGAAGTTTCAATCTAGATGATTTGAATTATATAAAATACTCAAATCACATTCTCTGAGAATATATGCATTGAAAGAATCAGAGAGACAGATCTTATACAACTTAATAAATGATTCATAACTTATAAAAGTAAAGATATAAGATCTGAGTGAATTATAATTATCTACAGCACTATTATCAGCATTGAAAAAGAAGAAGCTTACAATTGAAAAGTCTCATAAGATAAGAGAAATCATAGACACTTATGAATCAGATAATCTCACTTATTCTGATCTTTTCATAATTATAAGAAAAGAATGAGAAGTAATGAAGAAATCAGACAAATATCACACTTCAATAAGTGATAAGACTGTAGCTAATCATATAATAACATATCACAGACAGTGAATACAACACAGTAAAGAGTGATCTCAAAGCAGCAGACTTACACATGAATCAGATTACAGAAGAAAAAGAAATTCAGAGTTGAATTTAACTGTTTACATCAGTTTAATCACAGAGATCACAGAGAATGAACTATCTGAAACATTCACAGACATGTGAGACTAAGTTATCTCAATCTCTGAGAATACTTAGAGATCAGATGAGATTAGTTTTGATAAGCTGTTCACTGTAGTAGTCTGAGTGAGTGAAGAGAGACAGTATAATATATGAGACAGAATTACAAAAGATGAAAGCTGTCAAATCTAGTCACTGAACACTGTACTATATAGAGATTGTGTAAGAGTAGTGACTAGCAGATAAAGAAAAAGTATAAGAAAAGAAATAATGAATTGATCATCAATTATAAGAGTCAGCTGTAAAAGACAAATATTATTATATATACTTCATTCATTTTTATATGTTACATATTTAATCTATTTCTAACATCACATCATCTGAAAAATGTCAAAAACAAAGGAAATCTCAAAACTTAAGATCTGTAAGAGATTTAAGAGCTGTAAGCTGCTCTTATAACAATGCTGTATATATCTCTGATTTCTCTATCACTCTGTGTACAACATTAATGTCATTTATCACAAGATTGACTGAAATGCCAATATAAAAATGTATATATGTATGTGTAGAAAAATTGAAGGAGAGTGTGAGACCTGCAGAATCAGAAGTTAAGAGAGAGAGAGTGAAGATAGAAGAAATGAAAGAGAGAGATACAGAACTGAATGAATAATAAGAGTCACTCAGAGTTAAATGCTTATAACTCAGTGTGCACACAACCTTCTCTGCAGAGAAGAGAGAGAAAGTGACAGAAAAAGCTTGAGAGTGAAAGAGAGTAATCTCAGCAGTATTATTATCTTCAATTAAAATGGCCTCTGACACTGAAGTAACTAAGAACTATTGTTAGTATATGAAACTGTAAAAGCAGAGATAACAATTACTGAATAAATACCTGCTGATCTTAGAATTGTATGTGTAATTACAACACATACAAGACTTCTCAGAAAGAGAGAGAGAAATACAGAAGAATGCAGAAAGCAGAACACAGTATGTAAATAACTCATTCTTACAATAATATCTTAGATAAGATGTACAAGTCTCATGTCTGTGAGTGTAAAAGAGTACAACATTCACATTCTCATTTCTGAAAACATGAATATCTTTCATCTGTATCATAAAGTTGAATGACAGATATCAGAGAATAGACTGATATAAATCTATTATTTTGAAGAAATTCATTAGAGTGAATATCTCTATAATATTGAACTTTACAGTTATAAAAAGTTTCTTAATATCTGTGAACATCATGACTTCATGCATAGTAAAACTCATAACAATTTTCTCTAAGAACAGAAAAATCAGTGTTAGAAAGAGAAGAGAAAAAAGAAAAAGACTTATAATCTTAACACTATTAAGAGAGAAAGTGATTCTCTGAAATAAATGAATAATTATCTTATCATAAATATTTAAAATGAATATAATAATCAGTGTCTGTAACTGAGCTTCAGATAGTTGTGTTATACACTGTCTTTATATAAGAAATTGTTCTAGAGATTGATAAGAAGGGTGAGAGTGTATGCACTGAGAAATGCGATTCACTGAGCCTATGTAACATCTTCTTGAAATGAGAAGAGCTAGTAACAAAAACAGCAGTGAGAGCAGAAGTAGCAGGAGTAGAAGTTGTGAGAATAGAGGTAGCAGAAGTGAAAGAATCAGACACAGAGACAGGTGTAGAAGATTGAGAGAAGAGAGTAATAGAGAAAGAAACAGAGAGAGTAGAGAGAGACATAGAAGACTCAGTCATATATAACATAAACAATTTCTTCATTATCACATTCTTCAAGTTCTCAATCAATGATTTAATATTGAGTTCACTATTATCAGCAGATGCAGATCTGTCAACATGTGAAGATTCTATATAAATAAAAATAACATATCAGCATCTGTGTTCATGTAAAATTATGCCAGAAAACATAATCAGAAATCCGCTGAAGGAAATAATCAGAGGTGTATAAGAAGATGAAGAAGATGTGTTATTCATGATAATATGTTCTAGTGATTGTTAGAAGATAAACAAGTTCTGATCACATTTCACAATGTGTTACACTTACTGCTAATGAACTGCCTGATATGAGCACTACAATGACACTTGTTATGGGAATGAGAAGTCATTGCCAGAAATGCATATGATGTGATAGATGAACAGATAGAAAGAGTTGAACAGAAGAAGAAGTAGAAATCTTGAATAGTAATAGCATTTGATGATGATGAAGAAGATGATTGAAGAATGAGAAAAGTTAGTGAATGAGTGATGTAATATAGTGAAAGTTTCTTTGTAAGAGTGTATGCAGAATGCTAGCTGAATCAGAGATAGATTACATAATTGTGAAATGCTAGTAGTGAGTTAATCTGCATGAAGCTAGAGTGTATGACATAATCATATAAGTATGACTGAATCTGATGAGAGAGGATGTGGTTCAGAAGAACATATAACTGTTGAATAATAACACAGCCGCTTCTGAACTACTAGTATACAAGTGTAAAGAGGGCTATAGCAGCCACTAATTAATTTAGTGTACAATATTACAATATATAAGAAGCCGGCGTACACCTGTAATCGTACGCTGGCTTAAGCAACCTTTGAATCACAGTGATTTCTTAAAGAGTTTGTGAATCTTCAATAGAAGTAAAAGAAGTAAAAGAAGTGAATTCAGAAGATATAATAATAATTTGAGAAAGATAATAATTTATTTTTAATAACTGATCACTGATGTGTGTAAGAAGTAGACTGACTGTGTAACCGTGTCTGAGACTAGAATCAGAATTTTTGATGATCTCATTGTCAATTTAACAGATCTCATTACATGGTTCTAACATTAGATAGTAGTTTCATACTGTCTCAGTGAGACTTACTGTCTACTCTTATCACATTTTTCAAATGAGATCATGATTTTCACTTCTCAATTTAAATTATTTTTATTGCTTTAAATAACTTTAAATCTTATTTGAGCATTATCAAAAAGCATTACTTTTTAAAAAATTAAAAATAGTCTAAAAAAAACCTTAAAATGTCTAAAAATAGTAACTTTATGCTAAGAATGAAACTAAATGAGATTAAATGAGATTACTTTCTCATTTTTTTCAAGTCATGATTTCATTTTGAGATCTGATATATAGTCACTTTGCATGTTTATTTAATAATTAGTCTCAGTGGGATTCACATCAAGAAATGTATGAGACTAGATCAAATGAGATTAAACGTGAAATTCATGATCCCGGCGGCCAGTCTAGTAAGAAGAATTAATATAAGAGAAAATAATCTTGTTTCTTAACTTAGTTATAATTTTAGTACTAACTCAGATTGAATATCATTGATATATAAAAGTAAACAAATAATCTTGATTAATCTGTATCATATTTTTGCCCCGGTGGCCGAATGGTTAATGCGGCCACCTGGTAGCACCTTGGCGTGGGAAACCAAGGCGCGTGGGTTCGAAACCCGCAGGGGATACATTAAATCCGGAACTCAAGCACCTCAGGTTCCTAATAAATACAGAGGTGTACAAATCGCTCCAATGAATCGCTCTATGTTCCTGGGCTGGGAAGTTATTATCGCATGTATCTAATTGTCACTCCTTTGTATTTTCCTATGTTCTTGTTATCTTGGCGTGGTCTCAACACCTGTATTTCCTCCTGTATAACCAACACTTGACCTGTATTTAACATCACGCAAGGACTCATCATAAGCTCCGCTTTTGCTACTGTATAAGACTCTTCACTGTCTTTTTCTTCAATCTCTCACAGATGATGTCATCTGCATTATTTCTATACTTAGTTCAGTCTAAATCTATCAGAAGTGTTACTTAAAATTGTTATTATTCTACTTTCTTATAAAGTCTCTTCAAGGTATTATAATGTGTCTTACAATCTGTCTTCTCTTGCTTGAATATCTTCTTCTTCTCTCTCTTTAATCTGTGATAGTACTCACATGCCTTGATAATCTGCAGGACCGCAGAATATTTGAAGAGAAATGACATGATTGATTTCAGTGAGTGTTGAAGAAGAGTGAAGGCAGAAGAGACAGTTAGAAATGATATAATAATAATAATATTAATGATGATAATGATGATAATAATGATGATGATAATAGTGATGATGATAGTAATAATGATAATGATAATAATGATAATAATGATGATAATAAAAGAGAGAGTGCATTGAAATATATTATTAACTTATCAAATATAAAGAGACTTAAAGAAAATATTAACAGCTTTCAGTGATATACAGAAACAGCTACAGTGTTGTATAGTAATATTATCTTCATTCAATACATATACTGTTGATATTCTTTGTATGCAGTTATTATATAATCTGTATCAGAGATACATGTAGAAAACAGATCTTTGTTACTAGAATAAATAATTGCAGCAATTCTCTATTTTTATATTATAAAAATAAGTTATTCTTATTTCTTTCTTCTCTCTTTTCTCTTCTTTAATCAATCACTAATTTCAAGCTGATATGAAAACTATTAAAACACTCTCAGAAATTCTCAAATTAAAGAGTATAGACTAATCAAATTTCAAATACAGAAGAAATTAAATTATCTTCTATAAATTCAATTATTCATTTCTTTCTTAAATAAAACAGCAGTTGTGTCCCTCTTCTCTCTCAATCAAACAAAACATAGCCTGTGAAAAGTGAGTATCATGCCAGGCTATAATGATCAACACAGCCTCAGTATGCAGAGCTGTATATACACAGCACATGCTGAACTGAGAGACTGTGTGAGTTACAAACTGACAGCAGTATCTCAGAAAGAGCTGTACAGTGTGAGAAAGCTGTAACTCTTAGTCATATATGCAGAGAGTGAATCACTGCAGTAAGTGCATGTGTATTAAAGTAACACTTTTTAATAATACTCAGTCTCTAATATAATGAAAATAGAGTCTCTCTGTGAGATCTGTTTCTATCAGAAGTTAGAGAATCTTATATTTCTTAAGATTATCTTTGCATGTCTTATTCATGAAATTGATGAAGAAAATCATTGATTTCAGTATTCTGCTCTTGATATCATTCAAGTGGCAGCAGAGTTCACTCTGGCCACACTTTTTAAGTGTATATTTTCTAATTATTCACATTTATATAGATATATACTGATTATTTATTAGATAATATTAAGATAATAACTTATTATAACTGTGTTACTCTTACTGTGAGAGATATATAATTGATAATAAATATTATAAAGACTCTGAAAAGTGAGTATTTTAAGAATACTGCAGCTCTGTGATCTTGATTTTTTTTTATTTTTATTTTTTATTTTTTTCTTTTTCTTTTATTTTTTTTTTTCTTTCTCTTTCTTTCTCTTTTTTTCTTTCTCTTCTTTTTTTCTTTCTCTTTTTTTTTTTTTGTTGTGATTTTTTCTTGTTATTTTATTTTTTATTTTTTTTATTATTTTTTATATTTTATATTTTTTTTTTTAATTAAAATGATATTAATTATAATCTGTATTCAGAAAAGTAATGATATTTAATAACACTCTCTGTTGAATTTTCAATAAATGAGCATTATATTATAATATTATGTAAGTAAGAAATGATTTCATAATCTTATTAAATATCATTTTCAATAATGAGATCAGAATGAAAATGTAACTAAGAATTCAAATATATTCTTTATCTAAGACTAGATTTTTATTTGAAAAGTGAATCTGAAATCTTTAATATTTGAAATAATATGATTTGAGATCAATGTGATAAACACAAACTATGATCAGAAGTAATGCTTTTAGATAACATGATAACTGTAAAGTTTGATTCTGATCTCAGACACAGTTACATAATCAGTCTAAGTGCAACACTCTGATTGAGAAAAGATTCAGATATTAAAACTTTCTAATATGAAGTGAACTCAGTTGAAATATGTGATTAATTTACTATTTCAGTTTTATAAGATAATAAAGACAGTCTCAATTACTCATATATCAATACTGCAGTCAGTCTGATAAGTGTATAACAGTTTATTTACTTATCTTGAGAAGCAGTTGAATCACTTAAAAAGAAATTCAGTCTGAGATAATGCTATAGTGCTGACTATTATTACTGTAAGAAATAAACTGATATATTACTACAGTAAAACTGAACAATCTTTTACAGAGTACTATACTGTAGTAGCTCTACTAGATCTCTCTTATTAAGTTAATATCTACACTTCTCAAGATTGAACAGAGAAGGAATAAGACTCATATGTTAAATTAGCTCAAGACTACTATAATATCAACTATCAGAGATTTGAACAAGCAGATGTTCAAGATATAAAGACAGTGAAATACAATTTCTTAGTAAGTAATGATCTTTGATAACACTTCATATTACATAGAACTATAATACTAACTTTGAAACAGAACTTGTATACATTAATTGCAACTGAAAATCAGGCAAAACTACATACTTGTAAAACTGAATTTGATCACTATTTTCAAGATAATCTGATAAATTTACATATTAAATCAATTCTAGAGTTATGAAAAATTGTTAAGAGTACATATTCAACTGTTATACTGATAATACATGATATTCTGATAATTTCATTAACAGAGATAAAAATGAAGCAAAAGTTCAACTCAAGTCAAGATATTTATCACTATTATCAGAGACAATTACAAGAAGAAATAATCAAGAAACTCATGATTATAAAACATGAAATTATCAGATAGTTTAATACCTGTGATCACAGTATATCAGAGAAGTATAGTTTTCATAAGAAAGTGAAGAATAAACTTACACAAGAATATATTTAGTTATTTCATGAGTGTTATCAATAATCATTATCAAATTCTGATTATATAAGCAATCATTGAATGAACTGAATAAGACTGATTTTGATCTTCAGTTTCAGTCTCATTCTGATTTTGAAAGAATGATTATCTTTCACAGTTTATTCTGAGAAATTACTCTCATTTCACTGTTCTTGAATTAAATCTGGTCATTTTTCACATCATTTCTCTCAGAAATGATTCATTTTCAGATTTTTTTAAGGCTTGATTCTGATGAGACTCACGTCAAGAAATGTATGAGATCAGATCAAATGAGATCAAATGTGAAATTCATAATCCCGTCAGTCAGTCTATGCAAGCTGCTCTTATAACAATATTATACATGTCTTCAATTTCTCTATCACTCTGTGTATGACATTAATGTCATTTATTGCAAGATTGATTGAAATGTTAATATAGAAATGTATACACATATGCATAGAAAAATTGAAGAAGAGCATGAGACTTACAGAATCAGAAGTCAGAACAGATGAAGTGAAGATGAAAGAAATAGAAGAAGAAGAAGATGCAGAACTGAATAAATAATAACAGAAGTCACTCAGAGCTGAATACTTATAATCTGATATATACACAATCTTTCTCACTGAGAAGAAAGAGAAAGTGACAGAAGAAACTTAAGAGTGAAAGAGAGTAGTCTTGACAGTGTTATTATCTTCAATTAAAATGATCTCTGATACTGAAGTAACTAAGAACTATTGTTAGTATATAAAACTGTAAAAGTAGAAATAATAATTACTGAATGAACATCTGCTGATCTTAGAATTGTATATACAATTACAACATATACAAGACTTCTTAGAAAGAGAGAGAGAGACATGAGAGAATACAGAAAGCAGAATACAGTGTATAAATAACTCATTCTTATAATGATATCTCAGACAAGGTGTACAAGCCTCATACTCACAGATGTAAAAGAGTATGACATTTGTATTCTTATTCTTGAAAACACAGATATTCTTCACCTGCATCATAAAGTCAGATGATAAATATCAGAGAATAGACTAATATAGATTAATTATTCTGAAGATATTTATCAGAGTGAATGTATCTATAATATTGAATTTAACAGTTATAAAAAGTTTCTTAATATCTGTAAATGTTATAACTTCATATATAATAAAACTCATAATAATTTTCTCTAAGAACAGAAAAATCAGTGTTAGAAAGAAAAAATAAAAAAGAAAAAGACTTATAATCTTAATACTGTTGAGAGAGAAAGTGATTCTCTGATATAAATGAATAATTGTCTCATTATAAATATGTAAAATAAATATAATAATTAATATTCATAATCAAGCTTCAGATAATTATATTATACACAGTCTTTATATAATAAATTATTCTAGAAGTTGATAAGAAAGGTGAAAGTGTATATACTAATAAACATGATTTATTAAGTGTATATAATATCTTCTTGAAATGAGAAGAGTTGATAATAAAAGCAGAGATAACAGAAGCAGAGAGAGTAGAAGTAGTAAAAGTGAAGATTGCAGAAACAGAGATAGCAGAAGAGAAAGAATCAGATACAGAGACAGATATAAAAGATTAAAAGAGAGTACAGAGAAAGAAATAGAGAAGACAGAGAGAGATATAAGAGACTTAGTTATATATAACATAGATAATTTCTTCATTATCACATTCTTCAAGTTCTCAATTAATAATTTAATATTGAGTTTACTATTATTAATAAATGCAGATCTGTCAACATGTAAAGATTCTATATAAATAAAAATAAACACATCAGCATCTGTATTTATATAAAATCATGTCAGAAAATATGATCAGAAGTCACTAAGAAGAAAAACAGTTAAAAGTGTATAAGAAGATAAAGAAGATATGTCATTTATAATAATATATTCTAATAATTATTAGAAGATAAACAAGTTCAGTCATATTTCATAACATATTATACTTACTGCTAATAAACTGTCTGATATAAGTACTATGATAATACTTATTATAAGAATAAGAGATCATTGTCAGAAATATGTATAATGTAATAGATAAACAGATAGAAAGAGTTAAATAGAAGAAGAGATAGAAATCTGAAATAAGATAATAGTGTTTAATAATAATGATAATGAAGAAGATGATTGAAGAATGAAAAAAGTTAGTAAATGAGTGATATAATATAGTGAAAGTTTCTTTATAAGAGTGTACACAGAATGCTAGTCAAATCAGAAATAGACTACACTAATACAAATGCTAGTAGCGCGCTAATCCGCATGAAGCTAGAGTGTACATTATAATCATGTGAGCATGACTGAATCTGATAGAGAAGAATGTGATTCGGAAGAATGTATAATTATCAGATAATAACGCGGCCGCTTCTGAACACACTTCTTAACACACTTACAAATGTAAAGAGGTCATAGCGGCCATCAATTAATTTAGCGTACAATATATAAGAAGCCGGCGTACATCTGTAATCATACACTGACTTAAGCAATCTTTAAATCACATCTTATATATCTGTAGTGTCAGAACTCTTAGATCTTTCACTAATATTCTCTTTGTAAGATTTTATTCTCTTTATAAGATCTTGTTTCAGAGCTAGAATGACTGATGAGCAAGCTTCTATCTGAGAACTCAGTATTCACTTAACTATTTGACTATTTCTCTATTTCATATATATTATTATAGATTTAGATATCTCAGTAAGTAGACTGATCATGTGACCGTGTCTGAGACCAGAACTAGATTTTTTAATAGTTTCATTATCAATTCAACTGATCTCATTACATAGTTTTAACATTAGATAGTAGTCTTATACTGTCTCAGTGAAACTTACTGTCTACTCTTATTACATTTTTCAAATAAGATCATGATTTTCACTTCTCAATTTAAATTATTTTTATTACTTTAAATGACTTTAAATCTCATTTAAGTATTATCAAAAAGTGTTACTTTTTAAAAAATTAAAAATAGTCTAAAAAAAAACCTTAAAATATCTAAAAATAGTAACTTTATGTCAAGAATGAGACTAAATGAGATCAAATGAGATCACTTTCTCATTTTTTTCAAGTCATGATTTCATTTTAAGATCTGATACATAGTCACTTTACATGTTTTTTTAATAACTAGTCTCAGCAGAATTCATGCTAAGAAATGTATAGAATCAGATTAAATGAGATTAAATGTGAAATTCATAATTCTGATAATCAGTTTATCGGTAAGTAATTGTTTCTAATAAGAAGATAATGAATGTTTTTCAAATGTAAGAGATCTACACTAAATAGATCAGTATAATATTTATAGATCTGTAAGAATAAGTGCTCACAGGCGATTATTCAGATGTTTGCAGCTTGGCGTGATATGTACTATTAACTACTAGAAGTATTCACAGTAGAAAGATAAAATATAGAGATCAAATATATAATAGCATTTAAGCTGAGTTATAAATAGTATTCATGAACTTCAGTCTATATAGTTGTATGTAGTCAAGAGCTGCTAACTCTATTAATTATATAAGAGATAGAAATAGAGGTAAAGAATCTGTGAGAAGTGAGATTTCTTACATATCTCTCTCTCTCTAAGACTTCATCTGTGAAGCCTTTCACTGAGTGACTTCATAGAATCAGCTCAGCACTGCAGTGATACTCACTAAAAATTCTTCATATCTATAAAAAACCTTAGTGAGAAAAAATCTCTTATTACTGTGAAGAGAAAAGAGTCTGTCACTCAGTTTCTTATTTCATGAGATTCTTTATAATTTACAGATTCTTCTCTGACTATCACACAGATTCATCTCATATCTTTCATACAGAAGAATTTCAGTTAACTCTTAATCATTTTCATAAGATTCTTATATGATTATCACACAGATTCATCTCACAGATGAATCACTCTTTGTGAGATTATTCTTATTAAAGAGAAGTATTTGCAAGTTAATCTTTCACTTATTCTCATGAATCATTGTTCTTTAACACTGTAGAATTGTGAGGAATTTTTCATTCTTTCATCAACTCTGTAGAATTGTAGAATCAAGATATTCACAGTCTGTAATCACTCTTTATAATTATATAGAAAGATTCAGATCTACAATTCATAATCACTCTTATTTACTAGAGTAATCTGACTATTCTGTGAAATCACTCACAGTGTAAGCAAATCTCTCTAGAGTAGTATAAATATCACAGATCTGTCTGTGAAATCTC